GGAGCGCTCTGGAGCGCAGGCTGTGGTAGACTGTGGTGGGATCACGATTAGACTGTGGTGGGATCACGATTGGCGGCGGGAGCGCTCCGGAGAGAGCGCGCTTGAGCATACACGGACTGTATTGGGAGCACGATTGTTGCGGGAGCGCATTTGAGCCTGCACGTACTGTATTGGGAGCACGATTGGTGCCCGAGAACAGGCAATATACTCTAGCGTAGTGCGAACATGTTAGGGCCGCCATTGATGGTTTGCGTGCGGCTTGTCATGTTGGGAGCAGATTCGCGCCCGAGCTCGCTGAAAAAGAACTGCCTTGGCAGTCGCGACTCTCACAGAGTCGTCACTCATCGCCACCACCACTGGCGACTTTCAGACACAAGCGGCATACGGATGGTGAGAGAAACTCTGAGGCTTTGGGGCTTCAGGGGCCGGACTCATAAAGAATACTATAGGTCTTCGGGCTCCCTACGAGTAGAAAACCTACTGAATGTATAGTGTTGACGCCGCTGAATGTGCGTTCTCTCACTCAGCGCCACCTTTTGGTGACTCTGAGAAAAACGGTCTGACGGTTTAGGGTTTAGGGTGTAATACAGGGGCCGGAATCACTAAGTTATTTCTTGGGGTCCCTACGAATAATCTGTAAAGGGTATTCTAATTGCTAAGGCCCACTGTATTACTGTATGAGCTATAGTCTAAACTCCATAATGGGGGTTATAATAGGGATTATATAGGGGGACTACTAGAGGGGATATTATGAGGGATAATAGGAGTTTAGACTATAGCTCATATTAGGGAAATCGGGGGTGTTGACGCCGCTGACTTCGTATTCTCTCACTCATCGCCACCTTTGGTGGCTTTCTGACCATTTAGGGTTTAGGGTGTAATACAGGGGCCGGAATCACTAAGTTATTTCTTGGGGTCCCTACGAATAATCTGTAAAGGTATTTTAGTTGCTAAGGCCCACTGTATTACTATATTAGGGAAGTTGGGGGATAGCCTGTCAGTCATCGCCCGCAGTGGCGAATGTAATGGTCCTCACAGGGACTTGGTTTTGTATGGGCTTTAAGGCTGGGTTTGGGGGTTTAGGGTTTGCGAGTGAATGCCTTAGAAGGCGTCGAGTTTAGGCAGAGACCCGGAGGCCCAGCAAGCTTACAAAAACCGTATCAGCAAGTCGGCAGAGACTAAGACGGATGCCTAGGAAGCCCACAAAAAACCGTATCTGCAAGTCGATGCATCCAGAGCTGCTGCAAAGTTTCAGCGGCAGAGAAAGCCTTCTAAAAGAATATCTGCAAGTCGATGCATCCAGAGTTTCGGACTTACAGGGTTTTTAAGGTTGAGGGTGCTGTGCCTCTCCGATATCATCAGCCTGACCACTTCCACATACCGGTCCTTGCAGGGCCACCGCGTGGGCAGCTGAGTTATGGCTGGGAGTTTAGGTGCTCTATAGGGCTCTCGATCTGGGGATGGAGGCTCAGATGGAAAGCTTCCAGAAACAAGAGGGCATGGATGTGAGCTTGCATCATTTCTCCCCCACGGCCTGGACAGCATTGCTCGCATATCGACCATCGCATGTACGGACGCGCCAGGAGACGCGTTTACAAGATGTTACTTCTGGTGTTTGATGGTGCTTGTCTCTACAAATCCATGCCAGCGTCAGACTCAAAACGGGCATTGCTTCAGCTTGTGTGGTGCCGAGACGCTCGATACGCCGTGGCTACCTTTTGCTGCAGGCACTCTAATTAGGAACCTACGGAGGAGATGACAGGGAGCTTTCGGGCTATTTCTTTCACATGGGGCGTCTGCCTCCACAGAGCATCCACAGTCGAACGGCCTTGCCGTAAGAATTCTTGAAATTCAGACAGCATGACCGCAAAATACGATCTTGTCCATAGCGGCGCGTGTCACCAATGCGGAAACTGCACCGGAGGCACACGACGTGGTAACTAGATCTGTAGAGCTGACGACCTAGGCAGTATTTGTAGTGCGCCGTACCATCAGCCAGGTCAGCTCCTCGACCGTGAGGTCGCCGGCTTTCTTGAGCAATCGTCGCTTTCTACGGGCCTGCGCACTGCTGAATCAGCTGCATGGGGCAATTTGCCGGAAATCTGAGGCGAAGACCTCATTCCGCATTTGCTTGGTGCAATCCTTCAGCTCCTTCTTTAAGGTGGCACGCTGCGCTTTCAGCTGGGCAATTGGATCAGCAGGCGCGGGCGGCGCGGGATCCGCTGCACGCTCCTGCGCGAAGACTGCTTCGCACATAGATGTCTACCGAAAATGCACACTGCAAATGATGCCGGGGCGAGCACGCCTCAGCCATGGCATCGTCACCCGCACGCTCGGCTGCCATTCTACGCAGCCAAAACAAGCCTCGGACCTCTACGTCTCAGAGCCACAAAAGCTCATCGAATCATTGCATGGTGAAGCACACACATCTCCAAGGATACGTGTCAAGTAGCACCTGAATTTGCCATGTTGGAGGGCCTATTTGTTGGACCCGGAAATGGCCAACCATCGGGCTTCAGCATGACGGGCCCTAGAAGTATTGGAGCCCGAGTGCCCGGTGCCACCGGGCCCACTCTGGGGCGTGAGCACCCCGACCTTGCAGGCTGAAGCATTGCTTTCCTGTTCCGGCATGCGTTTTTGCTTGAGCACGGGAGCTGTCAGCATCCAGGTTGCATGAGCAAAGGATAGGCATACTCCATGCGGCGCCTTTTCAGCCAGATGCAGCTTAGCTGCTCTGGTGTAGGCTTGTCTGGGCTGCTCATAGCCACAGCATCGCCGAGCTGCCGTTTCAGCGCTCGGTTGAGGACTGCAACATCCCCTGTTGTTCCTACAGCAGCAAAGGCTCGTGACCACGATCTGGCTGCGAAAAATTTGCGAGGAACCGTCCGGAGCAGCTCCATCCATGCAATCTCAGACACTTCGGAGTTGTCAGACGCCTGTCGTAGCGCCTGAAACTTTGCCGCCCACCACATCTTTAAGCTGGAGAAGGCAGCGATGTCAAGGGGTTGCAGTATCGAAGTGAGCGATGCCGGAATATAGACCAAGTGGATATGGTTGTCTCTGGCCGTTTCCATGACCTTCGCAGGCAAGTGACATGGAGCTTGGTCAAGGAGGAGTACTGGAGTGTAGGTGGCTAACCATGGAGCCAGATGGGTTCCCAAATGTTGGAGAATCTCGACCATGCAATCTGCAGTGTTCCATGCGCTCTTCCGGCGCCATACTTGCAGATGACTCGCTGGCAGCGAGGCCACCTGTCGCTCTAGAGTCCTGGTTAGCTTGTTCTCATTCACTATAAGGAAATGAGGTAAACATGCTTGAATTCCTGCATTGTTGGCAATGATGGCCACATATGTCGCCGCGCCACGAGTTTCTGATTTCTTGACCCGGATGCGTGGCTCCAAACCTTGCTCATTCCAGTATTTGCGTGACAGAACCATTCCGGAACACGGCCGAGCCAGATACCCGATGGATGTCTCGTCCAGGTTCAGCATCAAGACCTGCTTTGGCGAGCATTGCTGCTGACGGTACCGCAACCATTGCCAAAAAACTGACACCTGCGCAGAGNNCGCAGGGAGGGCGCAAATCTGCGCCCAGAAACTAGCGAGTTTGGTGACGCGCCTTCTTGACCACGGTGTCCGGCTCGAGGTCCTCCTGAAATTTCAATGCACGGCGCTGGACACCCCACCGCTGCCTCCACCGGGCAGCCCAGGCATTGATGCTTCGCTGACGGGGCATGCCATCCTCGTCGCTGATTCCTCCAGTCTGGCGCAACCTGACCTGCAAGAAAACTTCCCGGGCTGTAGGCGCCGAACCATGTTGGTAGTTTTGCACACCCACCCAGGTCAGTGCTGCTTCCTCTGCGAGGAACTTGGCAGCCTTCGTAACAGCCGACTGCCACGCTTGGTTCCTGGGAAAGGAGACACTCAGGATATCTTCTTGAGAAGCCGCTAGGAAAATGTCTTCAACGAAGCGTTCGCTTGCTTGCAAACGCTGTCCGGAGCTTGCAGCTGATGCAAGGTGCTGCGCCAGAGTGGCCGCCTTGCTCACATCATACTCGGAAAGGATGTAGGCGGCAAGGACTTGTTTGCAAGCTGCCGGCCCCAGTCCGCAGGAACTCTCCCGCTTTCTGAAACGTCGCTGCCGCTGCGACGTGGTGCGGAGCCCCTTAACAGTCTCTTTCAACTGCCGCTTCAAGCTCTCCACACGTGCAGCAGTGTCGACAGCGCACGGCGGAGCAGGCAACACGAGCTGCTCCATGCCACGCAGAAGCAGTCTACCTGGAGCCTACCTCCTGCCTGCACCCAGAGCCAACCGAAAATACAAAACCCATGATTCGGCTATACAGACTGCTGCGGTTACACGGCCGCCGTAGACCGAGCAAGTTTGGCGACGGGCAAGTGGTCTGTACTTTCGCTGGTGCCTTGAACTCATTGCCACTAGAAGACTCCTGGGATTTTGCTGTCGGGTTCGCTTGGGCTCAAGTCCGAAAAAAGACCTGCGACCCGACCCACAACACGACTATCGAATCTGCGTGCGTGCAGACCAGTTCTCAGCGCCGTCCCTGGGCAATCACGTCCTGGCGTGCAGCAGGCCGCATAGGCCCCGAATCCGGGCCGCGCAGCGGCCCAAAAAAGCAGCCCTCTGCGAGGGCTCACTTTTTGGGCCTCTGCACA